CGATTTAATAACCGATTATGCAAATTTTCAAGAGTACCTGAAATCCCATATTATTACTAATTCAAATATCAAAGAAAGGAATACACACCTTTTTCAAGTTGACAGTAAGTCAGATCCTGTAATATTATTTATACCAAAAAAATTTAATAAAGATGAATTTACAATCCTAGAGAAGAATCCGCAAATGAAAAAGTTTTTATCATCTTATCGTCCAAACAAAAATTTGAAATTTCCACGGCCAATCGATATAGTAACAACGAATGTAAGTTTTCCTACTTATTGATAATGAAAATTTATTCAGTGACATAAACTATGAAAATATTTGGTCTTGCTTAATAAGTTTACGAAATGAAATAGGGGATGTACATACTAAACTTTCTCTTCTCAATACCACTACAATCCTCTAATAAAATGGGACAATGATTTATCCAATGTTAAGATAGTATTTTTAAAAATTCAGGAACCGAAAATAACAATTTTTAATAATAATTTAATTACACCCAACGATTCTGATAAAGAAACCCTTCTTAACGAATTTCATAATTCTCCACTAGGAGGTCATCAGGGAGTTTCGCGCACATACAAAAAAATTTCTCAATTTTACACTTTGGAAAAATTAAAAAAAGATGTTAAATATTCATCAGGAAATGCGAACTTTGTCAGAAAAAACAAATTATCGCGTAAAACAAAAATGCCAATGGAAATAACTACAACTTCTTCTAAGCCATTTGAAAGATGTTTTCTTGACATAGTCGGACCCCTTGCCCCAAACAGTGGCAAGCAACAAGTATATTCTCACTTTCCAAGATGACCTGACAAAATTTATTATTAACGTGCCAATGCAAAATCAAGAAGCTTCTACAGTAGCTCATCATTTCGTAACAAATATAAATATGCCTCTATGGGTTACCAGAAACGCTAGTCTCGGACCAAGGTACAAATTTCTTAAGCGATCTTTTCAAATCTACCTGTAAATTTTTGAAAATAAAAAAAATTTCAAACTACCAGTTACCATCCGGAATCAAACGGTGCATTAGAACGCTCTCATAGAGTATTAAAAGAATACCTGATGCATTTTATAGCAGATTCGCAAGAAGATTGGGACGACTGGCTGCCCTTCGCAACTTTTACCTATAACACGACTCCACATAGTGCAACTAAGTTTTTCCCCATTCGAACTTTTATACGGACATGTTCCTAATTTGCCAACTTCTGTTCAACAACCCCGCTAGAACTAAGTATACATATGATCATTTCGTTATTAATCTCAAAGGAGAAACTTCAATATTTCAATCGATTAGCTAGAGAAAATTTGTTACAAAGTAATGTTAATATCAAAAAAAAATTACGACAAAAAAAAGTTTCATTCAACAATTCGATGTAGGAGATATGGTTTTATTGTTGATGAATCTGTTCGTAGGGGTAGGAGTAGAAAACTTTCATCTCTCTGGGTAGGTCCCTATAAAATAATTAAAAAACACTCCGATGTTAATTATACTATACAGAAAGGAAAATCGACACAAAAATTCATGCAAATAGGGTTGAAACATTTTTACGATTAAATATAATAAATAGGCTCAATATGAACCTAAGTAGTTTAGGCTCCTGTAGATATGTAGAGATCGTACAAGTGCTATAGCATTTTTTATCTTCCCTTTCAGAAATTTTCCTCCAAATTCTCATGCTAACGGGTGTTGCGATTCAGGCCGACTATAATGTAACGTATTATGACTTCAACCCAGGAATTCATTTTGAAAAAATGGGGGAACTTCGCCTCACCAATAACAAATGGAAGATAATAACATATGTAGAATTAGATAACCTTAATGATAAGTATTTTCTATTAGAAAATTATCATGGAACTACAGCAAGCCTATGTGACCATACTAACGCAAGATATCATTTCAATATTTGCGATTTATTTCTAAAATCTTCCAAGTATATTTTAGATAAACTACATAAAGAGCTAATGGGACTGTACGAGTTGATTGGTCACAACAATTTAAATAGAAAAACTAGGGGATGGTTTCGATATAGTAGGCAAAGCTTCAAAAGTCTTATTTGGTATCCTTGATACCGACGATGCAAAATATTATGATGAAAAGATTTCACAATTTTCCAAGGACGAAACCTCATTAACCAGCCCTTTAGAAAGAACAGACAAAAATTGTTCGTTCCACTATTTCGAATTTTAAATAATACAATTGGCACCTTAGATTTTAACGAAAAGAAACTCGCGGAAGAGTTGAACAAAGAATTCTCGGACATTAAATTTTTAACATTTAAATCTAATCTAGAGGAGCATATCGTTATGTTCAATATGATACTCAACCAGTTGCAAGTTGAAGTCGCGACTCTTATAAACGCAATTTTAATAGCGAAAAAGGGTATTTTACACCCAAACATTTTAACACCTGTACGCTTAATTAATGAACTAAGAAATATTCACGACTCGATTCCACATGGATTAGAATTTCCAATACCATTGGATCCATCAAGTTCCAACCTACTTTTTAACGTTATAAACTTGCAAGTATATGTAGAGGAGAAGCGACTTATCTATATTATTAATGTCCCTCTGGTAGAAACTCACCTCTTTTACCTTTACAAAGTATCACCGTTTCCAAAACAGGTAGGGGCTAATGAATTTATTCTCATCCAACCGTCTTCAAAATTTCTAGGTTTAGACGAAAACAAACAACAATTTTTAACTTTATCTGCTCTTGAACTTAATAACTGTCTCAAAATTTTCCAAAACAAATTTATTTGCAAACAACAAAAACCTACTTTATTGGCGCACATTAACAATAACTGTGAAGTCATGTTATTACAAGCAAGTAACAAAATTCCCGAGATATGCGATAAACGAATAATACATTCAAGTAATGCAATTTTTGTACAGTTACAAACAACAAACACATGGTTATTTGCAGTTCCTAATTTAGAAGTTTTGACAATTTCTTGTAATAGTGATAAGAAACCTGTTGATATTGTATTAAAAAATTGTGGCAGCGTCTCCATCGGAAAACATTGCAAGGCTTATAGTGCTTCGACAATGCTTACCCCACACGATAATACCTACCAGTCGAATGTTTTCAGTGAATTTGTGCCTCCCATTCACATTAGTGATGATTGTTGTGAACACCTCAAAGACAAAAATATCAATTTGACAGAGTTTTTTTTGAATGAGCATTATAGAACACTCATGAAACATATTCCTGAGCTCGACATTGCAAGTCATAAATTAGACGATCCATTAAATCAAAGAATTAATTTTTTCAATGTTCACATATAGTGCTTATGCTGTTTCATGTTTCACCAATTAGTAAATTTACTAAAGCTACCAACTAAGTATCTTGTATAAGTTAATTAATTAATTAGTATAAGTATTATTCACATTTTTTATTTTTTATTATAATTTTCGATTTTATTACACTTACGCTATATAAAATCTCTTTTTGAAAAGGGAGGTGCCGTAAACCAATAAACTCTTCATTAATAATACGATGCTCACTATACATTTATTTACAGTAAATTCCATCATCTGTTTAGTTTAGCTCCATGTTTTAATGATAGGTACTTTATAACTTTATTACTTATTTAAGGCTTGGAATTATTATACAGCTTCTTTCTATGATTTCTATTGCAAGAACCCCAATTATTATCCTTGCCGCCAAGGCGCCAGAGACTGTAGAGTAGACCCTTCTTTTATTTTATTGTCTAGACGGCCAGAATTTCCTCGTACCTTTAGAATATTAGTGTTTATGATTTTATTTCACAAACTTTCCAAAATAAACTTTACATCTGTATAGAATTAGGTACCTTTATATTTTATTACTTGAAGACGACGCCCTCCTCAAGGACATCTCATGAAGCCGTTTTCTTGGGAGAAGAAAGACTGAAGACAAGACACTCTGAATCCGGGCTTCAAACCGAAAACACGAAGTTATTTTAAATTAGTCAAAGCTTCCCTCTTGCCAAGCTATTTAATTTTATTTTACTTTTAATAAACGAAACCTTTTTTTTTTAAACGAAAGTTAGAGTTTCAATTGCCGAGTCGGGACGATTATAACACCAGTCTGTAGCGATAGAACGGATATACATAGTGTATTTTTTTTTTAGAATTTTATGTGGCAAAGATACGTCTGAGAATTTCAAAAAAACCTTAAAACCTGTCACAAAGTATCCCCGTTTTACGATACCTCTAAAAAAGTACTACAGAGATTCCAGATTACAAGATTCCAGTTGCAGATTGTAGTTAATTTCAATTTAATGATCTAAAATTTATCTAGTATTTTGAGTACAAATACCCAGTATTTGAATTACTTTTTTTTGTAAATCCAAGTACCAAATACAAATACTTTATTTAAAGTATTTGCAAAACCAAGTACAAATATCCAAAAACAAAAGTAGGTATTTGAATTATAGGACTTCAAATACTAAAAAGTAATTGAAATACATTTGTCAAGTAATTTACTTGAAGTACTGACAGCTCTAATCAGAACTCACTGTCTTACTATTCGACTCGCTTTCAACTAATTATTCGATTATAAACTTCTTGGGACAGGTAATTTCCTACGCTGGATCGGGCAGTGCTGCAAGATTGTGCAGGATTTACCCAACTTGAGGAATTTGTAACAATATTTTCACTAACCAGAAAGTGATCGCTTCCTTTGAGCATTATTTTCAAAAGTCAAATCTGCTTATGAAAAAAATCACCGCACTTTACGAGATTTGAAAAAAAGCTGCACATTACCGGGTGAACAGTTCAAATTTTGCTTTGGGTAATTTTGGTTACTTTAGTCAACTATAAAGTACATATAGAGAAAAACTGGCAAGTTTTTTTCTATCTCAAATAGTAAAGGCTGTAGGTATGGGTCCAAATATAATCAAATACCCTGTACACATAATATTTAAATTTGAGAAAAAAAAATTTTTGGATGGCTTAAAATAAAAATCTCATTACTTCACAAAACAATATAAATACATAACAAACTTTGCACAGCACCTCTATAATATCTATGAGAGCACTGCAAATTTTCTCCTAATATTATTTACAAGTAATAATAAATATTTCTACATTTTTTTACATTTAATTTCTATAGGCACAGTTATTATTATCTTCAATAATTTCCAGCGTCATGGAATGTTTTATCTGAAATATTGAGTAAAACAAATTAAAATGAACTTTCAACAACATCGCTTCCTGCTCTAACAAATTTCTCATTAGCTAATTTGATGTTCTGATATATGTGTTCTTGGTTGTCTTCTTCTGAAAAATATTTTGTAGATAATTTCAAGACAATTTTGCATAATATATATAACTTACCGTCATCGGCTATAGGATCTTCTATAATATTTCTAATTAATTGATGAATATACATAAATTGTTTCTGTAAAGATAACATAATATAGAGTTTTTTCTTGTGATTTATTTTATTTAAATAGGTAAATTACCTCAGTCTGGACCATTAATTTTCTTTGCCTTCTTAAATCTAATACTGTATTAAAAACGTCTAACTTTTTGCCAGCTTCAATGGCCCTAATTAAAATATCTGTGGCAATTATAGTTCCTGTTCGACCAACACCAGCACTGAAAAAAAATAAGTTGGATTTGTAAGAGGTTAAAGTGTTCTTCAGCCTCCTAGGACATTAGTCGCCTTTAGAAATTTTTCAATAATTTTAAGTACAAACAACAAGACAATGTTTTTATTTAGTGAAACTTGATCAGTCCCCAAATAAATTTGTATTATTCCTTTATGATGCTTTTCACCTAATATTTTAAATCACAGATGACATTTTTTCTGTAGTAGGAACTACTCCATAACAATTACCTGCAGTGTACAACCGCCATTCCACCTTCAAAAGCCCATCTATTTCTCATTTGATGACAGAAAAGCAACAAATTGTCAGTACCAATTGGTACTCCGTGATCAGGCCATTCTAGAAACTGCATATGAGTAACTGTCATTTGTTTGAGATCCTAAAAAAATCACCCTTAATTCAAACAGTTGTCAGAAAAAACACACTCACTTTTCGAACTTGAAGAGTTCTCACACAATATATTTGGAAGTGAAGCTCCGAACAGCATTTTACTTCTATGTCATCTCCAAACAACATGGTTTCATTATTATTGGGAAAGTATTTGTAGCATTTTTCCTAAAGTAATAATATTGTTACTTATGGTCAATTTGGAAACGAATAATGCACTTGCTTTTTTATTTTCGATAAATTTGGCCACCATAATAATGATGGTTACGTTCTCTTGGAATACCATTTTCCAAAAATCTCTAACTGTATGCGGTAATGGACCTTGTGTAGCTATGTATTCATATCTATTCGAAAATCCCTTTATATAAGATGCATTTATGTAATCCGAACAGATTTCATCGTCTTCATCTATGTTCAATTTAACTCTACTATGATCGACTAAAAAAAAAAATATTTAGGAAGAAATCATACCTGATAATGAAAAATTCAGCCTGGATACCTACATACATTTGGTATGCTCTGACTGTGGCCCTAAATAAATAGGATCTACTTACATGGTAAAATATTAGTATATCGATTTTTCCGTCTGTTTTCATTAAGAAGGGCAAAATGAGTATGTAAACCTTCATATATTTCTTCACTTTTAATTTGTAAATCCGTCCATTGAGCATTGAAGACATCTGGATTTTGTTCAAGATAATTACAGTATTCCACAAACCTTTCTTTGGAAAATTCTGTTTTTGGCTCCGGGTCTTCTTTCTTTAAGAATTTACTAAAAATTAATTTTGTGATTTAATTGATAAAAACTGGAAAAGAATAACAGTAGGTTCTCTCAAAGATAGAGGCAGGTGAAAACTCTCCTGTGAAAAACCTCTGGCACCGTACGCCGATATTCTAAATTATTGTCCAATCACTCTCTTATAATTCCCTAAAAGTTAGCGAGTTGTGAATCGCGTCAGCATTCAGTCAAATGCAGATTCACTACGGTGGAAGAATGCTCCTCGCTCTGGGCTGGCACCACTTCCAAATTTCAACATCTCGAATGCAAAGTGGAGAAATTCTACGAGGCATTAGGAGCTTTTTCCTACCTGCTATAGTTGAGTTAGGCAAGATCGGGCACGGCCTGGTCTAGTGGTTCTAGGGTGAGATTTTATGCTTTTCGGGAGTGACTGTATTGGTTAGAATATCGATGGACGTTGCCACTCTGGGTTATTTATTCTAGATATTCTAGACCATTCTAAATTATTCGTTCAAGTTATATGGCTGCTGTTTTAAGACAAGATAATAGGTTAGGTGTAAAAAGTGAATAAGTCAAATGAACTAGTGAATGTAAACTGATTTTACAGTTGGATAAAAGTGTTAGTGTACAATTATTATTGTTAATGCGATCCCAGGAGCAGAAAGATTAGAAACTAGCTAGGGTGTCAATATTAGGTGAGAGTAGCTACATGATGGTTGGAACTAAATAATCTTTCATTTAAGGAATTTAGGGCCTACGAGTATTAGTTCAGTAAGCGAGGGTTTCTTCCAAGAAAAAAATGTGGAAGTATTTTTCTCACCGGTTCTACAAGGTGTATCAGGTTTGACTACAAAAATTTTGACACGTGAAAATATGGCCCATTTTTGAACAAAAAAACTTGGGTTCCAAATTCAACCATTTTCAAGAAAAAGTGTTCAGTTTCGTCTACGCGCCCTGTATATAGTTGTAGGTTAAATTGGTTATTTAGGATGTCAAATCCCATTTGGAAATGGAAATTGATTCGTTTTTTTTTTTCCTCTTTATTTTTGTTTTCTTTTATACTAATTGAATTGCGCGTGCTTTATTCCATATGCCTAAGAATTGATACGGCTTTGCTAAATTTGGCTTTTAAAAATGCACGCGTTAACACTGAAAAAGGATATCTGCAAAGTCCTTACACTGTCGACGAGTAAAGTCAATCGCCAAAAACACTCCGCCGGTTTCGTGTGGTTCGAGAAAATAGACCCGCGGTTTTTTCGTTTTCCGTGACCGGTTAAATCAAGACGGTTTCGTTTCCACTCCTTCGCATTGGATTTGAACTTCCTGAAAGAGCTGGCCAACTGTGTGGAGTTTGAAAGTAAAGCCAGGTAAGGTGAAAAAATATCCTTTCCAGTTTCGATATCTTTCAACTTCAATTTAAAATCTTTCATCGATTACCATTCTATCAGCAACCTGTGGATTTTCCAGTTTTAATTTCGCACAAAAAGGTCTTTGAAGTTTTGACATTTTTTGAGGAATATTTGAAAGAGTTTAATCATTATGAGATCTTAAAAAATTAATTTCATTTAACTATTAGGTAATTATGCATATTTAGTCAAAAACAATAATTAAAAATAACAGGACAATATTACTCGTAATTCGGTTTCTGAACATCTGGCAACATAGCACAAAAAAGAATAGGTATTTGAACCGATTGATTTTTGATTTGTCAGTCACTTGAAGTATTGAGAACGCGCGTAAATCTTTTTTGTAAATAAAATGTTTACAAACGTCGAATATGCAGATAAGGTATTTTAACTGGTAGCCCCGAAACAATTTATATGCGACGTTGCAATTTTTGGCATTTTCATGTTTGGACTGGAATCAGCGCCACGCCACGCCACCACAGTTTATTATTATTATTCCGGCCTTTTGATTTGAGTTTTGAGTGGACACAGAATATAATAACCTTTCATAATTTGATGATACTATTAATTTATGATTGAATAAATGAATAAATTGAAAATTGAATAAAATTGAAACTACAAATTTTGTATTTTGAAGCACTGCCTTTTGGTTGTAGTGGAACTGGCAACTCGTTTGTTCTCCTACAGGGCGAAAAAAAATTTCAAATCGAATTCGGAAAAATATATTAAATTTTCTAACAAGTGCAGGAAATACCATTTCTCGTAAGCGTTTGTTTTAGCCTATAGTACTCATAACAGCGAAATTCGCTCTTTTTTGACATTCTTTCGACAATTTGACGTTCTATGCGTGATTCAAACGTCAAATTGTCGAAGCAATGTCAAAAAAGAGCGAATTTCGCGGTTATGAGTACTAGGCTTAAGGAACACAATTTTTCTCAATGGCGTGCGGAAAGATTACTCTTTGTACATGCCAAAAAAACGGATCATCTTAAGGTACGGTTTGTTAGGATAGTAAGCGACGCACAACTGACAACGTAAACGTCGTCATTGGTTCAGGTATGACGTACACCCGTTTTCTGACGCTGACACTAACGTCAGAAAATTAGTATACGTCATATCTGAACCAATGATGACGCGACGTTTACGTTGTCAGTTGTTCGTCGCGTACTATCTTAACAAACCGTACCTTTAAAACGAATTTTCACGACGAACTACTTCCATGATTTCATGAACACAAACGCTTTCGCGAGAAACTCATAACGTCAAATTGAACGTAGTTCGACGGAAGCATGGATGCAGCTTCTAGCCAGCGTTCAAACTCATGACGTCACAGATGAACTATGGTTCATCTTTAGATGAACTACATTCGTCGCGAAAATTTAGTTTTAGTGTCCAGAAAATGACAGAGATTATCCTGTTTTCAATCCCTAGGAGGACTACTTATTGAGCTAAAAGTGTCTGCCAACTGCTATGTCAGCTGCATACCTCAACTGTTGGAGTAAAATGCATTAATTCGAGTTTAAAGCATACAAAAGATGAATTCCTAAACGTTAAAATCTTTTTAAAATCACCTTTTCTACATTTAAAATCGACGAAAAAATCAAACAACGAGCACAGCCTGAATAGCAAGCCTTCCATGGAGATTTGCGGGTGACGTCATCACTATTAGCAGCTGTGGCGACGTCACTCGCAGACCCTGCCTGCTAAAGAATTACCCAGCAAACACGAACTGTCGGTAAACAATCGGCCGAATGCCTTGAACGATGGGTAAGTGACGGCATCGGCAAAATGCAGTTGGCCCTTTGTGTTTTCGATCATTGAATTCCGGCTGTTCGCATTTGAACGCTGGCATAGCGTCGGGGCTTTTCTATTAATAATTTCGAATTATACAACTGGTACTATATCACTGGACCGGCAGTTTGCCAATATATGTTTCCCAGCCTCCTTGAAAATTTCGAGCAGGCGCACCGCGCACCCGTTCTTCATGTGTGTTCTGTGCGTTGTTGAACCTGAACGGCATTGACGGCCATTACCTCGTTGGCGACGTATGTTTGTGGCTTCGTTTTTGTATTTTGATTTTGTTCTTGGTCTTGTGCTTTGGGTAATTTCTCAAAAATTGTGGAAATAAGTTATTGTGTTGTTTGTGTTGTCGCGCGAAAAGCCAATTGTTAGATATAAGACAAAACTCTCCAGCAACGGCGACAACTTGGTGAGTATACTTGTAATTAAAATAACGCATGTACCTACATTAAAAAATGTTTTTATTCTTCTTTTCAGATGGAAATGATGGATTTTTTTCTATTTTCCAAGTTTATGTGTTAGAATTTAAGTTTATTTTGTATTTCTTCCAAAGAATTTATTTATTTATTCCTATACACTAATGAAATGAAATGTTGACTTTTTTCTTATAATATTGTATTGTATTAGGTACCTAAATATTAACTATTTAAGATATTTTTATAAAAATGCATTTTTATTTCTTAGTTCAAAATTTTAGGAGGAATGTAGCTTATATAATATATCTATTATTTTTTCAATAAAACCTAGATTTGTTTGAAATTTTAGTTCTCCAGAAAGGCTTGGATTCCTACTACGACGAGTACTACGAAGAAAAACGAACAGGAGAAAAAAAATGTTGTGTTATACCAAGTTGCAGAAAATGTAAAAATTCGATTTTTGGAATTATTTACTAGCATTCTAGTATATAAAATTACAACCATGTATAAAGTTATGGCCCTGTGATGAAAATCCATCAAATATACTGTATAGGACCATAAAATTTGAGGAAGTATACCCAGCGTTGGCCCAATGTGATGATTCAGAGGTTGAATCGGCCCAACGCTGGTTCATACTGTCGGCCGACTTGCGGCTCGATTGCTTTGATTGCACAAACAAACTAGCATCTCAGCATCTGCAAAAAGTTTTTTTCTGACCATTGAAAAATAAACAATTCTCGTCAAAAATCATTTTCTGTAACTTGAAAACATTACCTACATATTTTAAAAACTGCTGTTTTCGTCACTCGTTGAACAATAAAAATTGTAGGCACCTGTTAGGAAAATCTAACCCAAACAAAATAATATACTTTGACGTCAATTTGGCAACGCAGCACTCCTTGCCTTAACCTTTTAGAATTGTTTTGGGGCTCCCACCAAGCTCTTGTTATTTTAACCAATTGCCACGTTGATTTATAATCAAATATCCATTTTTTATATGCTTTTTTATTACGCATGCATCATAATCAACGATTTTATTATGTTTATGATGCGTCTACCTTTTCAAAGGTTTGCTATAGAAACGTTCGATCTACCTTCATTACCTAGATATTTACCTGCATACATAGGCGGTTCTAGCCCATCTGTGCTGGGGGGGCTGAAGCCCCTACTCCAAGGTCGCTGCGAAAATTTTTTTTGGCTGCCACGCCCAAAAACCTTATATTTTATTAAATATTTAGTCAAAATTGTTTCATTCTCGGTTTCATTATTACAAAAAAAAAATTGTTTACAAGTAACATGATTGTTTTGTTTCACATGAAATAAAAGTATTCCGAGGTACAAATAAAGGCAACCCTGTCTCTAGCGGTAGGGGCTAGGCTAGGGTTGCCTCTGCTTCCAGACGTCCCGATTTCGGATATTTATGAAATAATTGAATAAAATTTCATGAAATAATTAGATAAAGGTATCAAATCAGTGAAATTAATGAAATTTATTCAGGGACTGCGAACTTTTGCCACTGATCACTAATTCAAATTTGGGGGGGCTAATTCCAGATTTGGGGGGCTTAGCCTCCCCAAGCCCCCACCTAGAACCGCCTATGCCTGCATACCTGCCATTTAAATTACTACTTATCAATATAAATGAACACTTTTAAAACATTTTTGAGATTATGATGCATTCGTAATAAAAAATAGCGTATGATATGCGTGTATAAGAGGGCATTTGCGACTTACAAAACACTCGTGTTTTGAAATAAGTCGCGCGTGCTTTAAATGCCCTCTTATACACTTACATCATAGTATACTATAATGTGCTTACTCCTTTCCCCTATGGCTTTGTAAATACATTGTTTTAAAGTAAACATCAAATTGCTATATCGGCATTAAATTCTTATTCAGGCCAGCGCAGTCCCATAAGGAACGTTCATTTGTTTTTGAGCTTTTGCTGTAGCAATTTGATCCACATATTTTCTTCAGTCACCTCTGTATTTCAATTGATAAAATAAATGTTTTTCAAAAAACAAGTTTCTGAATCAAAAATATAATTGACCTATGTATAAAAATTAATGTTTGTTTGTACAGCTAGTTTAATGTAAAAACATAATAAGTAATGGCCTCAGAGTATTTATTTTCTACTTAACTATTATAGATCCATAATACCTAGGAAACGAAATACATTAACATACCTATAACAACCTGATCCATAACGCCCGCTTTTGCGGGCGTTATGATCTATAACGCCCGCTTATAATATCCTGAGGTGTTTTTGTTGTTGGAGTTTTATTAATTTGCACTTTACCCTAGACAGCCACTAAATGTCTGACCGAAAATAATTTTCGGTCTAGCCAGGGGCCTTATTCTGTAAGGAACGAACTGTTCGATTCGGTAGAATTTATTCGATTGTGACGTCATTTTTGGTTTGGCAGCGCGAAAACCAAACCAAAAATGACGTCACAATCGAAGAAATTCTACCGAATCGAACGGTTCCTTCCTTACAGAATAAGGCCCCAGGATTCGAACCCGGTCTACCATCAACTCATGTAGTCCAGCGCGTTAACCCACACGACCACCACCGTTGCCTTGCCTTATGAGATATTTATAGATATACTAGCTAAACCAGCGAACTTCGTAACGCCTATGAATTATTAAATACCTATTAAATGTTGTGTTAACGTATCTAGTAGATGAATTAAATTCAGTTTTTTTCAATGGTGAATTTGGCTTTGGTTGAAGAAAACTAATGTTTACTCTCTGGATCAGAAATCACCTAAAATTAAAATTTTACATCATTTGGCTATTGATTTCAAATAGGGTGCCTCGCTTGGATCATAATCGCTCTCGGAGCACTTCCGCAGACATCTGTGATGTCACCGCCCAAATAGAGAGCGCTCTGGGAGCAGTAAAGCCGAAAATGCTATAAGACAGTGATTCCCAACCTTTTTTTAGTCACGACCCTTTTACAGAATTGCTCATAAGGTCGCGACCCCCCCTACCCATTAATAAATAGAAAACAAAATTTCATTTTTCTCCAAACGTCAGAAAAACGTCACTTTGTTAACCCCTGTCAAGATGTCAGAAATTTGATTTCTATGCTGCTAGGCAAATCCAGCGGGTTAACACCTGTCGAGGTGGTAGAAATTTACTTTTTCTCCAAACGTCAAAAAAACTTCACTTTGTTAACCCCTGTCAAGATGTCAGAAATTTAATTTCTATGCTGGTAGGCAAATCCAGCAGGTTAACATCTGTCGAGGTGGTAGAAATTTAATTTCTATGCTGCTTGGCAACCCCAGCGGCAGCAAAAGTACTTTTAGTGCCGCTGGAGCGATTAATTTATTTCGTTTCTAGGTACAGGTACAGGTCGCAGGTACAGGTACATGTCAAAATACAAAACAATATTCCGTCACACAAATTTAGCTGATTTTGTTAATAATAAATTAATGGAAGAAAATTGCGTTGAGTAGAAAATAAAGCATTATATGCACCACGGGGATTTTAAGATTATAATGCCCTTCAGGCGAAATATATCGCTCGGGCCAGTTTCTAGTCTCGCCTTCGGGCATTATAATCTACATAATCCCCTTGGTACATAAATAGCTATTTTACAAAATACCCAGTTATTAAAAATATCATAACTCCGCCACTGGTAAAGCAAAATATAACTGGTAATCGTGATTTTTTAGGAAATTTCATGGTCTTCAATTTTTCTACCCTAATATTTTTTCGTAAAGAGCTTTGTTTTTAAGATATCGCCAAAAAACTAGATAGGGTCCGATTTTCACCCCTTTGTAAGAAGTTGTTTAGGGGTGATAGGGGCGGAGTACCGGTGGAGTTTGGTGGTATTTCGGGAACCCCAATATAAACTTACATACCAAATTTCAGCTTGTCTGCAGTACCCCAGAAACATAAAGAACCAGTGAGAAAAAAAACTTCTACCTTTTTTTCCTGGAAAAGCCGTTTCTGAACCTTGGATGACTGAACTATATTCGAGGCGTAAACTGTTAGTGTAATAAAATGATGGCTTACATAATTGACTCCGAGTCATGACTGTAATGCGTGTGATTAGGATGATAAAGATTTCTCGGCATCCCTTTACTACTTGGAATGCTAGAACAATAAATTTTCTAGTAATCAGTTTAATATTTGAATTTTCTAGAAACATCCTCGCCTGTATAACTCCAGAATTAATAGACTTTGATTTTTTGTTTAAACATACTCCTAATAATAGTTATTTATTATACAAGACGGTAAAAAGATGCTTTACCTGTGAGTGGAAAATGTTGATTCACGAGCGACGAAGGAGCGAGTGGATTAATTCCACGAACAGGTAAAGCTTTTTTACCATCGTGTGTAATATTCTATTTTATTCTTGAGCAACTACTTATTTATCACAATTACTAAAATCATAAACTAAAATGTGCTAAAATTTCACATAGATTATGACAAGTTGAGAAAGTACCTAACAAACTGACACATTTCTGGTGTTGTCAATCATGCAACATAACCATATTTCTGTCAAAAACACTATAATTATTTTAAAAGATTTGAACAAGTGGGTAAAATTGACGTATGAGTGGTTAAAATTGACGTATGAGTGGGTAAAATTGACAAATAAGTGGGTAAAAATTGTTCGATTTCACTACTTCGAATAAAGTGTTACTTTAACAACGAGTTTTGAGTCGTTTAAATGATAGTTTACCATTTGCGATAGAATAATAGTTATTTTTTATACAAGACGATAAAATGCTATTTTATCGTTGACCGGAAAAGTTAACTCACGAGCGGAATCGCGAGTGAATTAATTCCGGGAAACGATAATGGCATGTTATCGTCGTGTGTAAAACAAAGTTTTTTTCCATAGCCTGATTATGGACGCGTGTAGTTTCGAAAAAACTTAGAAATTATTTGAGTCAAACACTTTTGCATAAGTAGAAATTTGTTTGACAAACTTTGACAAATAACTAAAAAAACAAAATATGTATCAATTTTTGACAAAATAAACGTCTTTATCTATCCTTGATGTTAATAGTTATTTACATTACAAGTGCGTTTATGAACATGATTACAATAATGAGTGTGAAAGATTAGAACGACGAGGTCGTAGACCGAGTCGTTCTAATCACACGAGTTTTGTAGTCATGTTTAAACGCACGAGTGATGTACAACGTTTTATCTAAAAAGCGAAAAATAAGAATGTTTTTCCAGTCATTTTCGTTTATTAGTCGTTGTCTACCTTCATTTTACCTTTACAGGTTTACTGTTGACATTTGTCAAATCACCAAAAATAGTTGTGTTATGAATTCATAACCTTGTCTATAACTAACACCACTAGTTGTGTTATGAATTCATAACCTAGTCCATAACACAACTAGTTGTGTTATGAGCCTCATGACAACTCAAATACTGGAAAAATAGTTATGTAAAAACGTCATAACCAAACGCTTGTAGATAAAGTATTATTTAATCTACCCTTGCGGTTAAAGTACCACTTTATCTACTATTTTTAGTAGATTAAAGGCAACTTTACCAGTAGCTATGGAAAAAAATAATTTAGATAAGTTGATAGCAGTGGGTCTGGAGGATTAACTTGAACCGAAAACTTCACTCAAATTTTTCTTTAATAAGGCTCAAATAGCCAATGACTACTCATCACATTTCATGTACCTATGTATTGCATTACGAAGAGAATTTCATACATCTGTCAAAACTGGTATTCCAACAATAAATTGACATGTTTTGATTGTTGATTTGAACCAATCAGATTGTAATTACACGATAATTTGCACTAGTGCAAATTATCAGATAATTGCAGACTAACTGGTGCGAAAACTGGTGTTTTGACATTTTTTGAAAAAAAATTTAAATTTTTGATTTATGAAATTCTCTCATTAAATACAACTCGTGCAATGAAAATATATTTATAATTTCCGACAAATTTGCACTCATGCGTTTTTAACTGAAAAAGGCTCTTTTTCAACTAAAAATGCATTCGGGCAAATTTCCCAAAAATTATCAATAATTTCCATTGCACTAGTTATATTACTATTGATAATTTTGAACCCCTTGAATAGGAATTAATGTGTACCGTATATTTCACCGTATATTTTGGGAAAGTAACTGTTACTGGATATTGATGATATTATTTGCCTATTAATTATAGCTCAAAATTTCCAGTCTCTAGCGAATCACGAAGAGAGGCAGGCAGGTTAAAAATGGTAAGGATAATAAAACAACAGAATTGGAGAAATTTGGAACATAAAACACATAATAGTATAGATGATATCAAAGGAAAATAATTGATTTGGGTCCGACATGTATGTACTTAACTCAATATTTTTCTCAGTTATAAATAATGTAAGTACCTGAAATTTTACGTACTTGAAATAGCCTCTTCTCCATAAAATAAAACCAACAAATCCCATAGCAGATACACCAAACAAACCAAATATTATTCCAACAATGAGACCTACTTTTTTCGTGGGCTCCGTTTCGATTGTAAACGGCATCGAGGTTCTGTAATACTGAGCATTGAACATTCTTAAATATACAAAATAGGTTCTGCCTGGATCTAAAGCCTTATTGCAAATTTGTTCATCCTCTGAGCACATCATTTGGTTGTCTCCGATTGAATAATTCACAAAAGTTTTTTCTGAATTTAAATAAAATAATCTCAAATATGGTTATTTTTTATTAGATAAGTACCTTTGAAAGGATTCCAAAACTTTGGAGTTACTTGATAATGAAGAGCTTCAGTCAGTTTTTCTGGGGTTGGCCATTGTGAATTATACGTCCAATTTGTAATAGTGCCCCCAGTTGTATTTTCACTCGAAACAATAATCGCTAGATAATCGAGATTTCCATTACTGTTACTGAAATATTCTTTTTTTAAAGAAACCACTGCAGCTGTTGTGTGTGTGACAATTTGAATATTTGATAGTGTCTCTTCATCAAATGTTGGGACTACAAAGAAAATATTACTGAACGATACCAACATCAAAATTGATTATTTTTGTGTTTCAAGCTCATAGGCCAGCAGGCAAGTAATAAATAAAGGGAGAAGATGGAAAGTATTCCGAAGTTTATGATATTTTGGCATGTCGTTTGTGGATAGTCTGTGGAGTAGAATCTAAGTTTTCGTCCTCAAGGACCTTGTGCTAACTTGGGAGAAGTCGAAACTTTTTCAGTTTTTTGCTTATAACTTCTAAACCATGCGTTTTTAGCGGAATACACCTATTTATAAAGTTGAAGAAAATGGAATTTGTTGCAAATTCAACTAGTCAAAACTCAACGCAATACAACAAAGTTACAGAAAAAAATCTCAATTTGTCAAAATTTTCTTCCCTTCCGAACATAATTCAAACCAAGCGTGGAATAAATATCTTTCATCCTCGTCTCTTCCACGCGCACTCACAGTCTACTGTGTTCCTGAATTATTTTTCTATTGTATCCTATTCTACTAATTATTTCTGGAAAATAATTATTGATTCCTTGAATAGCTATGATACTTCCAGAACCTATTCCCGGTACTATCAAGCGACAATCTGTAATGTACAAAATCGGAATCAACTCAGTTCAGTTAGCATTCACTAGTTTTTTCAACACAACAAAAGAATTATTATTAAATGTTAAGGTAAATATATCTGTGTTATTTTGATGTCATATTATTCATATAAGCAATATTTTTCTTCGTCTCAGTTTGTACTTGTACTACTCTCACTTAGTACTACCCTCCCATACCCCATACTTGGTTTGAATTGTGGTCGTCGGCCGAAAGAAATTTTTGACAAGTTGAGAATTTTTCTGTATCTTTGAACCACTGTATCTTGGTTACTATTGCGTTAAAAAATACGTTTGACAAGTGAAATTTGGAGGAAATTTAATGTTATTGTCACAACTGCCCGCTTTACGGGGGTGACATGGGGGGTTTGTCGCTCAAGTTGTATAAAAGTGTAGATATATATTTTTTCAAATATGCCCTAATATACGCTAGTCCTATAGGATGCATGACCCTTCGAACACTGGGGTCCTTATAGGGAGCCACATGTTAACGCTGCTTGGGGGACTGTCGATTAGTTATCGTCACCCTTATGCCTTGTCCAGAGGAGCTTTCCCAACAAGAGGTAATTGCGCTGGACAACGATAAGTCTGAAGATACCCAGAGGGGCTTTTCCAACGAGAGCATAGGCGCAACTAGGGGGGTGCTTAGGGGTTCTAAGCACCCCTAAAACAAAAAATTAGCACCCCCATTCGGCATCCCAGCATAGCAGCTAACACTAATATAAAAAATTAGTGCAACCAATTATTTATTTTTTTGCACTTTTTGTACAGGGTGTTTCAGATTCAAGCCACATCATTGGGATCTCGGGAACGGTAAGATATATACAGGGTTGGTTGAATTGGGGCAAAGTTGCGTAATTGGATGCTTAACAAAATGCCGCTTTGATATTCAGGAGATTCCGAATACTTCCGGAGATATCCGGAAAAAACCGAAATTTTGCAAAATTGTTTTTATTTTTTTCAGACTTTATTTGAAGTGATATTCCAAAATAAATGTCACTTCATCGTCGCCACCTTTTTTCCCCTACAAGATGCTACCATCAAATTTGAAATCTAACGTTTCGTCTTTGGGCCACCATCATCAACTTCATTTTTTTAAATACGGACCCTTATTTTTTATTTTTTGGAATATCACTTCAAATAAAGTCAGGATAAAATAAAAACAATTTTGCAAAATTTCGGTTTTTTCCGGATATCTCCGGAAGTATTTGGAATACCCTAAATATCAATGCGACATTTTGTTAAGCATCAAATTACGCAACTTTGCCCCCATTTAACCAAGCCTGTACATGTTGTGATTACAATATTAAGGTAACCTGTTTATATCACTATCCTTGAACCGAATGTCATTTAAGAAAAGAAGACATACTTGTCAATTAAGTCAGTTCTGTCAAGTCGAATTATTGTTGTTGACAAGCTAAATTGTTGTTCGTGAATTTATATTAATTTCCTGCGATAAAGTTGTTATATCCGAGTTAATTAACTGTGTTTCATTTTGCGTCTAATTAATCCTCAACCACTAGCACTTTCCAAGAGGTTATGGGCCCAGGAAGCGTGGAAAATAATTAAATAAATATTTTGAGGTTAAGTGTGACCAAGAAAAACGTGAGACAAAAAAATTTTTTTTTTGGCAAGGTTTTACAATAAAAATAAAAAACCATGTCCAATAACGAATCGAGCTCCGGAGTAAACATGTCGATTGAAAAACTCAAAGGCCGGGACAATTATACGGACTGGAAATTCCAGATGAGTGCTTTGTTGAAATTGGATGGACTTTGGCACTGCGTGTCTGGTAATGCCCCTGCAAATTTGGATCCTGCTGCAAAAGCACGCCATGAGGAGAAGGCATTGTCCAAGATAATCCTGTCCTTGGACAAATCTACATATCCACATGTTATGCAATCGAACACAGCTCTTGAAGCTTGGAAAGCACTCGAATTAGCTTTCGAGGACAAAGGGCTCCATCGCAGACTGCGATTGTTACGGAATTTGTGTTCAATTAAGCTTGAAAGCTTCAATAACATGGAAGATTATGTAAATGAAATCATGGCTTTGTCGCAACAGCTGATGTCAATTGGTAAGCCTCTAGACGATGAATTCCTAGGAGTTATTATGCTCCAAGGGCTTACAGACGACTACGAACCAATGGTGATGGCACTCGAGAACTCTGGTGTTGATATTACATCAGATTTTGTCAAAACAAAATTACTGCAGGATAAAAAATGGCAGAATGGCAAATCTGGTGGCGATTCGGCCTTAGCAGTGCATACATTCAAAAAACCTCCATGGTGTTGGAATTGTCGTACAAAGGGTCATTACAAAAATCAGTGCCCAAAGAAAAAGGACGAAAATCCCAACGAAAACAGACATCATGAAGCTTCAAACAGAAATAAAGCTCCAAACAAAAATAAGTCTTCATTTGTTGCTGCTCTGGGTGTTGACATGAAAGGAGATGACTGGTATATTGACAGCGGAGCATCATCACACATGACTGGCAATGAGGAGCTGTTGACTAATTTATCCAGCGAAAATTCTGGACAAGAAATTATGTTAGCCAACAACTCCAAGCTGTGTGTAACAGGAACCGGTATTAGTTCAGTTAAACTAAGACAAAGTGGTGTTAAAATGATTTCTGACGTCAAACTTGTGCCAAATCTTTCAGTCAACTTACTGTCTGTGAATTCTATGGTTTCCAAAGGCTATTGTGTTTATTTTGATGCCAATAATTGCAAAATTATGGACCAAGATACTTGCCAGATTAAGGGAGAACCATTGGCAACAGCAACAAATGTGGATGGCGTGTATAAATTGGATGTTCTCATAGAAAAGGCAAACATTGCAAAAATGTCAAGTTCGCAAATGCTTTGGCATAAACGATTGGGTCATCTGAACCACTATAGTATGGATCTTCTAAAAAATGGACTTGCAACTGGTATTTCATACTAAAATAATGAAAATGCTGAATATTGTGAGAGCTGTATTAAGGGAAAACAAGCAAGGAAGCCATTTCCTTACAACCCTAGCAAAAAATTAGCAAAAGGTAAGCTTGACCTAATACATTCAGACATTTTAGGACCATTAGAGGTTGAATCTTGGAGTGGATCCAAATATATATTGACACTGATTGATGACCATAGCAGAAAAATATTTTATTTCCTGAAATCCAAAGATGAGGTGCCTGATATTTTCAAAGAGTTCTGCAAATTTGTAGAGAATCAGACTGAAAGAAAAATAAAAGTTTTAAGAACTGATAACGGGGGTGAGTACTGCAATGATCGTTTAAATAAATTCCTTAAAGACAAGGGAATAAAACATGAACTCACCGTACCATACAGCCCACAACAAAATGGTGTGGCTGAAAGGTATAACCGGTCCATTATGGAGAAAGTTCGCTCTATGCTTGCAGACTCTGAATCACCTAAACAAATGTGGGCAGAAGCAGCCAACACTGCTGCTTATCTCTTGAACCGTTCTCCAACCAAAAAGTTATCTGGTGCTACACCAGAGGAGAAATGGACGGGTTGTAAAGTGGATTTGAGCCATTTAAGAATATTTGGATGTAGAGCTTACGTGCATATTCCTGATGCTAAAAGACGTAAACTTGATGAAAAGAGCAAGGGGTATATTTTTGTAGGGTATTCAGAGACTACTGTTGGATATAGGCTACTGGACCCTAAGAATCACAGTCTAAAGATTGCTCGTGATGTAGTTTTCTTGGAAGATAATTTGGAATCCACTACAAAAAATGATGTCCAGTTGCAAGCCATTGTTCCACTCGAGGTAGAAAATGATTCTGATGTCTTAAACAATGCTGCTGCTTCCATCTCTTCTGAGACTTCTTCAGATTCTTAATCTCGTGTAGAGGAAGAAAGCGATGCTGAGGAAGAAAGCGATGCTGAGGAAGTTTGTGATGCCAGTAGTGTTGTGGACAAAGTCGAGAGTGCTTGTGATAGTGAAAGTGCTAAGGACAGAAGGTATCCTAAAAGAGACTCACGTAAGCCTGAAAAGTATAATGATTATTTATTAACTGATGATTTTGACAATGAACCAGATTTTGTCATGTTTGCTATATCTCACGATCTGGAACCAATTACTGTTTCTGAAGCATTATCAAGTGCCCGAAGACTTGAATGGAAATCAGCTATCAAAAATGAGCTAAATGCGTTCAAGGCAAATAATGCTTGGGAGTTGGTTGATAAACCCAACAATAAGAATATTGTTAAAAATAAATGGGTATTTAAAATTAAAAGAGACCAGAATGGGGATATAGCAACATACAAGGCAAGACAGGTTGCAAAGGGTTTTACTCAAAAATTTGGAGTAGACTATTCAGAAACGTACTCTCCAGTTATTCGTTTCAGTAATTTTAGACTTTTGTTGGCAATGACCGCTGAATTAAATCT